ATATATATATATATATATATATATAGTAAAGTTTGCTTTCAAATTTCATGTCACTAGCATCATATCAAACTTTAGTTCAATCCCAAATATAACTGTAGAAATCCCAATATTCAAAAAACAACATACTTCTTCTTAAGTTCTTCGTCTATGCTTTTCAGCAATTCAAATGTTGAATCAAATAAGAACGTCCATAAAGACCAATCATCAGGTCTGCAAATTAATACATTTACTTATCAAAATGTAGCCAAGATTTAAGTTACATCAGAAGAAATTTCTTTAGACAAAAACTATTGACTATAGCTATTTAAATTGTCTAAAATCTGACTTATTTTTCAGTTCGTTGATGGTCCGCTCAATTACAATATCATGTTTGCCGTCCAGTTGATGAAATCTTATTATATTTGTAAACAAAAAGTGAGCCGGATGTTTGATATATCGACGTGCCAAACTATCAGCTTAAATATAGATTTAAGTAATTAGATTAGCAAATGTTGTCCATATATATATATAGACATTTTTTTAGCTGACTGCATATATATATTGTCAGCAAAAAAAGCTGATTATGAAATGATTCCGTTTTCAACACAAAATTAAATAGTTTATTACCGACTAACAAATATGATATTATAAGTACCTTCAAGAAAGTGTGCAGCTTTTGCGTACTGTTTTGAATTTTCCAAAATAATCACATATAAATCGCACTCTAAAGTTGGCTAAATTATTTTAAAAGTTACTACCATATTTGTACACTCTTAAACTCCGAGTTCCATAGTCAGTTTAATTATATTATGTTTACAAGCATGCTTTTAATTGGTTTGCCAAAATTTATTAATAAATTTTACGAACAAACCAGCTTCCGTTTGTATCAAATTGGAATCAATCATTTTTGCCACCAACTTTTCAGCGAGTGGATATAACATTGTTTGAGCTAACTGCTCATCTCCTGAGATTGCCTGAAGTTATTTTACTAATTCAAGTTCAAATTTTATAAACAACCGTTTATGATTCCGTCTTCTTCGGATCATGATAATTCAGAATAAGAAAATCATGCTGAAAAATTAATTTCAAAATAACAGCTCACTAAAGACAGAATATTTTAATAAAATAATACCAGGTTTTGATATATGCAATTTAATAATAAAACCGAGATGAAAAACTATAAAAAAAATTTTTGTCGAAATATGATGCTCAAATACACCTCTATCTAGATTGTAATCAATCTTACTTAACACAAACGTTAGCTTACTTGCATCACGATGCTCATAATATTCCAAAAAAAATACGGGTTTCGCTGAAATTCTTTGTACAGTGCTAGAGCTGTTTTTTGCTGCTGCTTGTAATTTCGTACACGAACATAACTCATAAATAAATGCGTCAAGTATTGCTCATTTTTTGGATAACGTGTACAAATCTTTTCATACAACAGTGATATTCGTTCAGGAGTGTAAGCTTCCTAAAAACATAGATTTTCCAATACGAAAAAACTTGGTACTTATGTGCAGTAAATTTTATAATCCATACGAAAAGAAAGATGACTTGAAGCAAATAGTATTAGCACTTCAAAACCTTAAAACAATGGCATAGTGCTTGAAGAGTATTTTCATCAAAATCATCCTTCATTGATTCAGTCTCTTCAATTAGCGGCCATGCTTCGTTTAGACGTTCAGCTCGAATTAAACTTAATGCCTTCAGGGCCTGAAACTTCATAGCATACCTATTACACTAAACGAAAATCCATAAATGATGTTTAGTATCTTACTAATTGTAACCGTAACATAAGAAACAAAATTCCTCAAAGCCAAAAATTTCTTAATAGGTGTAATTGCGCAGAAGCTATTCGAAATAAACAATACCTTAGCGCAGTGAGTATTTGGATGTTTTTTCAAAACCTTGTCTGCTTCTTGCATTGCTTTTTTGTTGTTACCTGCATCTATTGCATCTAAAACTTTGAAATTGAATTAATTATTAGCGAACACAAACTTCTTAATCTGACAATATTAATATAAGTTTCCTTTACAAAAATCTTCTTAATAAGATTGGTTTTATATGTGTGAAAATTTAAACCAAATTTTCCATTCTAACAAACATAACAACATGAGGCATACCATATATAGGCTTCAGCCGTCTTTCGAGCACAATCTGATCACTGCTCTTCGACATTTTCTGTGAAAATCCTAAAATAATCTATCCAAGTGCAAATGATTTTCAGCAAACAATCCAACAATTAACCTACGAAGCTTTTGAAAAATTTTAAAGTGACCTGTATTTAAAAAATGTATTTTAATAAACTAGAAATGCTAAAATGAGCGCGAAACGCTTGAGAAAATGTGAAAAATCTTACTTTAAAAATTTTTGGATGTAATTTTATGGAGAGTTTTTAGAGTTAGGCTTTTAGATTATAAGTGCAATAAAGAAACAAATTGGAGAAATTTTATCGAACAGCCCAAAGGGTAACATTATTAAAATCCGGAAAGCCTACCAAAACAAAGTTGCGCAGGATGACACAGTCATAAGTAATTAGCAAGCTCGAGCCCGAATACGAAAAACTCGCAAACTCAATGTAATGTCAGATACTTCTCCTTACACGGAAAAAGTCTGAAGAAATATTTCACTCTAGCACTGTGGTCCGTTAAATGTAGAATTTTCATACATAATTTTTGAAAATTTTATAGCAGTTAGTTTCACTCTCTGATTCTTACATTTGTATTGTTCTTGTTCTCATTGCTACCAGCTGTAATATTTGAGATTCCTTTTTTCAGCAGTACCTCTTTCTGAATTAGAAAAGAAAATGCATATCCATTCCTGCCTGCAAGTATTTTCAACCTTCTGATTTAATTGCTTGTCAACTTACAAAAGTCGTTCCTTTCCTTTCTGAATTCGTAGTTCTTTTTTAGTCTTTTTTCTTTTTAAGCATTAATGCTAATCGTTCAGTAGTGTACAGTCTCTAAGACTGTGCTACTGTATGCTTTTTGCTCCACTAATGGTAAATTTCAACTAATGCTTTCTATTCTGGTTTACTTACCACTATTTTATCATTACATTAGCAAGTGATTGCTCAAACATTTATCATCTTTTGCAGATAGCAATGATAAGAAGTGGTAAAAGACGATAACGCATGCAGTCCAAGCAGTATAGTACACGATGGAATTGGGTTAGGGTACAGTATTTCTTTCCACTGATTTAGTCATATTTGAAGACTATCACTTGTGTCTGAGTTGAATTTTTATTCTTATTTGAAATATGTCTAGTGAACTTTTGTACTTTTTCCAATCTATGATTCACCTTCATGAAGTGAATCTTTTCAACTTGACACATTTGCATTGTAAATTGTATCAAAAAATGAGTTACATTAGGTTGAATCACTTTTGTCGGTTTGAGTAATAACTGAAATTTAATTAACTTTCCAGATGGTAAATGCTATTGGCATCTTTGAATTTGTTGGTTTCACTTTTTACTTTCCAAATTTATGAATGTGCCAAGTTATAAATTTATAGATCAGTCCTCCATGCATGGTTTACGTGATATTTGTGTCAGCGCATTCAAAGCAGCTGTTGAGGCCGTGCAACCATATCAGCGTGTTTTTGACGTAAATTTTAATTTTCCCATGTTTTTTATTCTTGTGAATAATCCAGTAATATTTATAACCAAAAAGTTTATAACTCATGATCAGTGATTTTTTAGACCCTTCAACTAGTTAATGGATGTATGAAAATTGGACACCGAACTTATCAAGTTGATCATAATATTCATTTAGCTGCCTTTGGTAAGGCTGCTTTAGGTATGGTTCGTGGTGCGGAGAATGCTCTCAATGGTCATATTGTAGAAGGTATTGCAAGTGTTCCTCGGGGTACGCTTAAAAAAATGTGAATATTGTCAATATTTTGATAGTTTAACACAAACTGCCTATTGATCGTTGGCAACATGAAATTGTCAAATCAACCACAATTCGTACTTGATAATGTTATCAAAATTCTATTCCGAAGGATGTTTGGGATGGATTTTTTCAGTGCTGAAAATGAATTTTAGCTTTCGAATTCACTGACAGATATAATCATTTGTTTTCGTCATAAATTACTTTCAGGAGTAACCTTAATCTACAAACAAAATTTTTGGAAGGTGCTACTAACAATTTACCTGATGATGATGCGTGCAATAATGCACGTTTAATTGAGGAAATGGCAAAACGGTTAAAAACGTCAAACGATATCTTTCTTGTGCTAATTTCAGGTTTTTTTTCTTCTTTTTTTTAAGACCATTGTTCAAAGATTTTTGGTAGCAAGACGGTTCATAATTAAATATGACACGCCCGTGAAGTTAAGTTTTTAAATCGCCTTGAATATATATTTTTTGTGCGTCAAGTGTTCCGAAGGAATCAAAACTTCACGAATTAAGTTATAAATTAAGTGTGAAAATATTATTTAAAATATATATTTGGCATAAAGTTCCATGAACATATGCAGTTTTCATAACTCTGCCTCTTCTATTTTCGTTTGCAGGTGGTGGTTCCGCCCTTCTTCCTGCTCCAGTTTCATCTATTTCTCTTGATGATAAGCTCAAAACTATCAAAGAATTAACATCAAGAGGAGCTGATATTAAGCAATTAAATACAGTGAGAAAGGCGTTATCTAGATTGAAAGGTGGAAAATTGGCACACATAGCTCATCCAGCCAAAGTGATTATGTTTGCACTCAAAATATTTTCACACTTGATTATTATTATAAAAACAATAAAAAATTTTCAGTGCTTGAGAGTTTTAAATTATTAATTTCTTATTTTCTCGTCTAAAAAAGGATATGAATGGTGTTGTTGATAATCATCAAGTGTGAAAAGTGTGGTGACTGCTGGTAGTTTTTTCCTTGTCTATCATCATTCTTGCGGAGGTGGAATGAAATATAGGAGTTTTTTTAAAGATAATATCAGTTATTATTTCTGATGTCATCGGCGACCCATTAGAATACATAGCCAGTGGTCCAACGGTCATGAAACAGGTTGACGAACTTGATCCAAAGATGGTTTTGAAGGAATTGAATGCTTGGCATTCTATATCCGAGAAAGTGCGGCAAGCAGTTGAACGTGCTGAGGTGGTGAATTTGGATCAGGTGAAGTAGACTACTATTTGTATGTAGGAAGTTTCTTGTATTTCACTTTTTTCGCATATTTTCTCTGCGATTTCGACAAATAAATTTTCAAAACCAGTTGTGCATACTTCAAGAAAGTGAAATTCTAGAGCTGGCACTTAAAAAGCATATAAAGGCAACCGAAAATCTTTTAGAACATGGATATTCAAAACTACATAGTTTCAAACAACAAGCTTGCGCTATTTGCTGCTGCTGAGACGTTAAAAAGATGTGGTTATAAGTGTCATATAGTAAGCAGTAACATTGCCGAAGATGCTGATATTTATGGGTCCCTGCTTGCTCATATTTTAATTGAAATAATGAAGGGCAAAAAATGTATTGAAGTACTGCAATCTGTTTGCTTGGCTACATCTGGCAGTATTATACCATCTGGAGGTAACTTCTGTTATCGTTTGCAATTTTCGAGACTATATTTAACTTTTATTGTTCTTAATTGTTCAGTAAATAAAGTTCGAAGTTTGCTTACGTTTGCAGACAAAATAGCATTGCTTTTCGGTGGTGAATGCACGGTAAAAATAAGAGGAGGTGGTTTAGGAGGTCGTAATCAAGAAATTGTGCTTACTGCGTTGTCAAAATTGCTTGATCACTGGGATCCTTGCCAGAAAAGAACTGAATTTGCATTGTTGAGCGCCGGGACCGATGGTCAAGATGGACCAACAGATGCTGCTGGAGCTGTACTGACTAGTGATGATGTGCGGTATATTTTGAAAATGAATGCGGAGATCACGAAAAAATTGATCGACGCGTCTCTAAACAATAGTGACTCTTATCATTTCTGGAAAGATTTCAATAATGGCAAGTCACATATTATTTGTGGACCATCGGGAACTAATGTGATGGATATGCAAGTGTTGTTGCTGTCAAACACAGTATAGGACTATACTTGATAGTGGATTGTTGGTACTTGTAAAGAACGCTATAGATTCTGGCTTTTAAAAATGTCGCATGTTTGTAGGTCAAATGTCATCGGTATATATTATAAAGTTATTATACTGTAATAGGATTATGGATTTAGACTTTTCAAATGTTTTGATAAAAAATTTGTCGAATTCTTGTGCACGTTTGCTTGTAAGGAAAGTGATTGTTTTCGAACATTTGATAGAGGAACATGGAAAAAGTAGAAGACACTTAAAAGAAATAGTTATTAAGTGACTGTGCAAATGACATCAGTTATTGTATAATTGCAATGTTGGTGGATTCTGTGATAAGCTCGTGATAATTCTGAGGATAAGCATTTATAAGCCTCATTAGTTCAGCTACAGACTGCCTTGCAAACAGAAGATCGTCGGTTCGATTTCAGTATGAGGCAGTCTTATACGATATTTTAATGGAGATGAAGGTTTAAGAGTGTTATGCTGTTGTTTCACAGATACGAAGGAAATCATACCACTCCGTATTTGTGACCTTGAAAATCACTGAAGAAAACCAATAAGAAGCAGTAAAGCAACGCTGAACTAATTAAGATTTGGAGAACAAATGTCAAAACAAATTTTTTAAATTCATGATAAAATATAGCGAAAATTAATTTTACAATGCACTGTGCACTGGAAAAGTCCAATCAACATCGTTGTTCTACTTTGATGGCAGATAGTATGAAACCACCTGTAATGAACTGCTGCATAATTGGATGAGAACGATCTTGTAGTACTTGATGGCTGCGATAGAATGCGTCCACAACATGCACCTGAACCGCGTTCTTCGACTTTAACCAATGGTACGTCCAGAAAAGGGGCTGCAAAAGCGAACAGAAGTAGGATAGATCTAAAACTTTATAAAAATCTTTAAAAATCAAATACTGATTAACACAGTAAAAGATGAACAGTTGATCCTTCATTCTGATGTGCGCAGTTGATCAACACAAAACTTACAACAACTGTAAGTACCATAAATCAAAGAACTAATAGTGGATGCATGTGAAACTGTCAGATAACTATAAGAAGAGAATGGGAGTGTAATAAAAATCTATAATTAGTGATTTTTAAGTATTCAAAATTATCACTCAAATTTCTTATCAAGCAAATACATCTCACGCTATATCTGAATGAAATTAATGACCAACAGATTACAAATCTTCACTCAGACTTTTTTTGTTACATGCTTGTTAGTTGCAGCAATTTCATCTTCATTCACATCACTACATACGAAAATAAAGACTCACCTCAGCAAATGGACAATAAACAACAACTGTTGACGATAATCGTAACGATGACCATGTTCGCTCCAAGATATCTACTGGATTTACACTTCTAGTAGCAATAAATAATATTTCAATATCGGCATTTTGCATTAGCTGCCAAGCTTGGCGTTGCAACCGCTGTCTTTCTGCTTTTTTCTCAAAGGGATCAGACACAATATTCTGCAAAAATTACACAAACTATTGTATTTAAAATGCGAAGAACGCAGAATGAACAGAAAAACACCACTCCAACACTCACTTCGACATCTTTGCTATCTTCCTGCTTTCTTTGTTTGTCAGCAATTTCCTCTTTCCCATTCAAGATTTCCTCACCTACTTCCATTTCTTTTTCTAGACACTTATCATTTCGACAAACTGTGGGTAAATGTTTCACAGCAAAATCCTTATTTTCGTCAAGCTTTTCCTCGCATCCTTTCAGTAAACTGGATATGCACAGCGGCATAAAAACCGAACTTGTCTGAAAACATAATGAGAAACCCACTTGAAAAAAAAAACCACGAAAAAAATTAAAAACTCAGCAACGCCATGGAATTTAGCATCAAAACTTCGCTTTTTAAATGCAAGATTAAGATAAACTAACTTTTTTATCAAAATCCATACTATCAACACATGGTATTGCTTGTGCTATACTTCCGCGATGCAAATGAATACAAGCTCCTGAACCACCAAGACGAGTTAATACAGCGCACGTTAACAAACCCAAACACTGATCAAAAACAATACAACGTGAACCAGAATGAATACCACTTAGTGTCAAAATATGAGACAACAAATCCACTCTAAAAATAAACTGATAAAACTATTTTGTTTTACACATAAAATGTATGAAAACATTACAAACATTGATTTCGATACAAAGTCATATTAAATCAAGTAAATATGTTTAATAATTGTGAGCTTTTGTTAGTTAGCACCAGCTTACATTTTTATAAACAAAGAGAAACTTAATTCTGTTCGATATAATAGAGTAAATTTTGTAGCGAGAAAATATTATTTTCTTTTTCCAAGAATCCTATTAAACTGAGGATGTACCTAAGATGTGCAACCCTTTCAGGATCTTTCTTATAATAAGATTCAGCAACAAGACGTAACGTCGGTCTCAAAAGATAAACGTGATCGGAGTGTTTCTTTGCTTTTTTGTTGATATATTTATTTTGTGAATAAATTGTCCGTTCTGAAAATGATGTGCTACCATCGACTAATCTGGCAATCTGCAAATATTTGAGAAATGAAATATCACGCTCACTGTATGAAAAAGCGACATGGAAAATAGTTCAAGTATCTCATTTGTAATCATACTATGATTACTTCGATTAATAGTATGACCACTTCGATCAAATTATTAATCCCTCCCTTCTTCGCATTATAGTATGTGGTATTTTCAAGTTTTGGATAATAAATGACTATAAAAATTATATAATGTTAAGTGACAAGAGAAAAACCTGAATTTTATGGATCTCAATTCATAACCAAAAATTAATTACATACGATTAAATTAAGTCTTGTAACTGATTTCCATCTCCTCAATATTATCAACAAAATGTGTTTTTTGCAGGAGCACAAATTCGTTGAAATCATTCTTAACAATACAGACTAAAAAATGATAAGTATTCAAACTATGCACTAACATTACCAACTGCTCCGCAGGTACGCCTGTATCTTTCATTTTAATGATTTCGTCTTGCGTAACTGTCTGCCTTGCTTGAGCTATATTCACGTTTCCTATCTCATCGGTCAATGATTTCGAAACTACCGCAGTATTAGTGACGCCATTTGATTTGGGCGATGAGCTTGTAGCACAATCTAATAATTATTTATATTACAGTACTATAGCATCATTTACAAACATTATCCAGACCAAATGAGTTATTACATACAACTAAGCGGAAATCAAAAGATTAGACTTTTAACGGTTATCCTACTAACACATTATTATACGAGATGACTCGCGCGCATACAGCTGATCTCTCAGAATCTCTATGTCAAGTACATGAATTTCCGTACTTGCGTAGTAAAATGACTTCTAGATTAATATTCTGTGTTCTACGAAAAATCATACCAAAATCGAAAACAGTAGGAATCTTTTCCGGTTTAACACGAGTTAATTTCCCAGCAGAAACCTGAAATCACAAGTTTCTTCCCGACCTTGTAAATATTTGATGCAAGTCAGTAACCGAATTGTAAATCTCAAGGACACCAAGAGTAAAATAAATCAAAAACCTGCCTCAAACAATCCATATGGCTGGTCAATTGCACCATCGATTTCAAATCGCAATTTCTCAATCAAAATCTTCGCCCTCCGAGAAATCTTGCACACTCGAATATGTTCACCACCCATTTTTTGAATTATTACATGACTCCCAACTTGGATCATTCTCAACAGTTTGTCCTGCAAATAGAAAAAAATGGACAACTTGAATAACACCTGTACCAAGACTAGGTGTAAATCACGCATTCACATGACCACAAGTATGTTTATTTTATTCTGCCATCCTAACGCAAACTGTCGACCACTTTTTTCCGACCTTCTTCTTCTAGAAAGAACTCCAAACCGATTCTGCAGTGTGCACTGTTACACGTGCCTACCTCTCGTAAGTACTGATTTACACGAACCAACAGTGAAACTATACCTCCTAAGAACCTAGGACATAATGTCCTAAGACCCACCAATAAAATCTTCCAAACGACCGCGACAGAAAGCTTCCTCCTACTTCTTTATCGAGTACAGATAGCAAGCACACAACTAAAAGATTTTAAAGTCTGCCCCTCAACGTATTCTTCACTTTTATTTCTGACAATTATAGCAGTGCATTCACTCGTTGATGCAATTACTTGCGCTCAGTAACACAGACAAATAGATGGAAGATAATCAACAACGCATGATATGATTATATAAAATGAAAAAAGTGCAGTAGACTTATCGTGTAGTGAATACAGTTTTACTTTTCATGTTCTCATTATTCTCATTGAAAGTGAAAATCTCTGCATAAGAATCAATATAATGGTTGCAACAGTAGAGATTTGCAGTAATATAACGACAGAAGTTGCAGGAATTAGTAATAGTCATATGATAGTGACAAGGGGTTGATCATATTAATGCACATTGAGTAATTTATCAAATAAGCAACAAAAATTGGAAACAAAAAAGTAAAACACTGAGACCACTGACATGAGTGTAGAAGAAATTTTGCAATAAGCTAAAATATCAAAATGTGAATACTTCTGTAAAAAGCAGCATGGCTTCACCTTACACAAACCGAAATATATATGACTTTCTTTCTTAATTATATATAATTTTTATCTATGGTAGCAAATGATGATGATTCATTACATGGGACTCTTTCACAGTATCATATCAACATCTTACGGAACACAAAAATAAACCATATAACAATGCACATAATATATACTCGCCATTGGTTTACTTTCGCTCATGCTGAGTAACTATCAGGACTAATAATACACGTACTTGAGTACAAACCAAAATCCTCATTTCCGCAAAAAATAACAATATAACGTAAAAGAGGTTTGTATTTCAAAAGAACTTCAGTTCGCTGTATGGAACGGACATGGCACCACTTTCAATTTCTTTCGTGTTCCTGCACTTCAATAGTACATTAAATCGTACAAAGCGAAGTTTGTAGTAAGTTCCACAAACTAACAGCAATACATACATGACACTATTTTACAGACACAGACTTACATACCTGACATTTTTATTTAACTGTACAAAGCAAGAAAACATTTCATCTTTCTGAAATGTAAAGTTATCAAGAACTGAAAGAACAATTTTGAGGTTAAAAAAAACTTAATTTACCAATTGCTTTCTTCTACAATAATCACACAAGAACTATTCGTACAAATTCAATGCTCCCTTCTCTCACATCGACCTCTGGATAAAAATTCCTTCACTCCCTATATTCAAAATTATATTTACAAAAAAATGCAATGTAATATGCATCACTGTGCTGAAGTAACGAAGTATGTCAAGGATCGATTCAGTTAATGGCGTAGCTGATTACTCCATGGCAAGCAGTGATATCAAGATGACTGCTGGTAGTTGCGCTGCTTAACGGATCTTCCTTCTTAACTACCTGCTGGGGAAATGAACTTTCTGTAGATGCCGATGTAACAGTGGCTGTATCAGGGGTGGTGGTAGTGGTGGTAGCTGCCAAATAACCTTTTCCACTTCGACTACTGACACTCCCTCCCAACGATATTTCGGTACCAACTGTAACACTGAGCATTGATGAAGAGCTATTCACCCTACATTTCGTTTGATGGGCTGCTTGTTCAACTTCACGTTCATTCCCAATTCCATTTGTTCCAATATCTACCATACTCTCTGCAAAAACTTTCTAATAAAGAATAATACTAAGCTACTGTGCAATTAAACTACGCAGAACTTCAAAAATTCAAAAATTACTTGCCTAAATTAGGTACGCAACATTTTTATCAAGAAAGATACAATGGCAATGGCAAAAGCAAGCTAGCTAAAAAAATGAAAAATTTATTTACAGACTGTCAATTTACTACATGTAGATTCCTTGCTTATAGCCAAGTAAATTAACTTTTGATTTTCTAACATTACTGAGACATATACTTTGGAATTTAACAAATATTTAGATGAAAACGTATTAAGCATTAAAAAACGTTCCTACATGCAGAAAGTCCACAGTTTTATGATCAAAAGTGGAAGAATATAGAATTATTCTGCAGCTTGAAGTACAACAAAAATAGGAAGATAACAGAAAACAGTTGTGAAAACGAAATAACCAACGTCTTGAATCAACCTGAGTTCCATTCAAAGACGCTCGACTTATTACTGCCATCGGTGCCTGACTTTTTGGTTCAGTAGCGGCAAAATAATTACGAAATGATGGTTTTGGTGCTACTGTTGGTGCTACGACATGCGGTACCGGCGGAGGTACACCTTCGGTTGCTGGAAATGATTGGTATGTATTGAAGGAGGAAATCCTAGAGAACTAATGAGAGTTTTAGATGACTTGATCGTAATTCGCAAGTGAACGAATTTCCTCATAATTCACAAAATATGCAAGAGCGGTCATGAAAACTTGAACGGAACCAAAAAATTACTTCCACAAAACAGCTAAATAATAAAAGATAATTAAACTTTGCAAAATACACACCACAAATTAATCAAGCATCCACATTACTTTAGAAATTTATGACCACATAAAAATCATGTCCAAAAAGCTTTTTTCTGTATAAATAAAAGCATTATTTTCAAATATAAATAGCATCAACATTTTTGATGATATTATGAAAAATAAGACCTACAATTACCGATATTGGTATATTGTGTGTAACGATGTTTGTCGTTAACAGCAGGTACGTGATGCGGAGTACTGGATGTCTTAGCTGAAGCTGGCTTATTTAATGCTGCTTTCATATTCGTCAATCCCGTTCCCAACAAGAGATCTCGTAGAGTTCTGGTTTCTGATGGACATGGATGTAACAGAGATGGTGCGATTATAGGAGGAGGCTGAAAACTATACAAAATGAAACATTTACTGCAAAATACTCAAGATCGAACTTTTCTCTATTAAAGAGTATCCCAAATCTGAAACACAATGCTGCTTATAGGTAATATTTTTTTAGTAGTGCCACAATCAGTTTATCTACAAATTATTTTAAGCAGATTACTTAAGTACTAACAAAATATAAAGGAATATAATAGCACTCAATTCCCCTTCAAGTAAACCTTAATGCGAGCTCCAGATCCTTTAATTGCTAATTCAAGGCGTTTAGTATCCACACAAGATGTAGCTTGAGTGACGTCCCCATTAAATCCGAACACGCTATAACGCTGTTGATTCGTTTCCGATCGCGAAAATGATGATGTAAGTTGTGCAACGTTTGCAGTCATGGGTCGACGTCGTCCCCCTCTCTAGAATAAAACATCGCTAGAGACTATGCGTATCTCCATTCAATGTCATTGTCAAAAAATGTCAAATTCTGGATTACCAGAAAGAATCAAAACTTGTATGAAAAAAAATCTACCTTCGGTCTTACACTTTGCCCGCCAATGAAATACTCTTGAGAAGGCAGAGGAATTACGTGTCTTTCAACGCGATCATGCCTTGCTGGTTGCGAAGTAGTAAGAATTAGCGTCTGAGGTGAAGCCATAACGCCAGAGCCAAGCTTTTGAGATGATGTCATCACACAAGAGCTGAGGGTTTGAGATTGGGCCAGTACACCTGAGTTAAGCGCCTGAGATGAAACTAACATACCAGAGCTGGGAGCGTGAGATGAAGCTAATACACAAGAACTGAGAGTTTGAGATGAAGTTAATACACCAGAACCGAGAGCTTGCGATGGAGCTAGTACACCAAGGCTAAGAGTTTGAGATGGAGCTAGCACATTGGGGCTAGTGATATATTCAAACGTTCGGAGCGGACGAACTGTCTGTTCTCCCGTCGCTATTACTTCCAAAGAAGGATGCAGTGGCGGCGGGAGATGTGTGTGAAAAACCGAAGATTCGTTGCTTTTCGACAACAGTGACGCTTTGGATGAGGAATGATCAGATACCCGCTTTAGCTGAAAAAATTTTCAAAGTAAACTTTCCTAGTGAAAATTCATAATCGCTGACTGAAAATGTCTTTCATATAAAGCAAAAAACCAATGCAGACAAGTACTTACTTGGTAATTTATAGACGTTGGCAATGGCGTCACCTTTTCTACTTTCCCAGCAACAGATGCCGTAAGTAAAACAGGCTGTGAACCACAATCACTTACTGATCTTACATGTACATTCAAGGGTGGACCATTTTGTTGCAAACTTAAAAAAAATTCTAATGAACTAATTCCTAATGAGTAACAAGTTAAGACGTAGAAAGATAGGAAAAAACGCACTTCAAAATTCGCAAGTGTTCTGTTTCTTGAACGCCATTAGTTGATATATTTTGTCCAGCAACGGGTATTGATGTAGTGTCTTCTCCAAGAACTACAACTTGCTCTCCGCTACCACGAAAAGTACCATCCCTCTGAAACAAGATTGTCAAAGACGAAAATTTAAAAACTAAACCTTATTCTTTTAGTGGGGCAATGTTACGTTTGAAAAAATTGATATAAATAAGAAATCCTTGACTTTAATTAAGCAAATTACTAATGCTTACGCCGCTTGCGCGCCTTTGTGTGGAATCTGCACCTAACATGCCGAAAATTCGTTTTGCATACAATTCTTCTCGCTCTCTATATTGTTGCTCATCGTTTTCGTCCCATTCATTGTCTTCAGAATCCGACAATGATTCATGTTTCCTGTCATTATCAGTTATCAACCTACATTGGTAACTCCTGAAAAATGAAACTGAGATTAAAATCTATGAACTACATAACCAATCTATACAAACATTAGTGACAAAGCTTAAGATAGCAGTAGAACGATTAGAAAACAAACTTTGTAGTATCAATAACAGGAGTGAATGGAGGATCGGGTGCCGACTGCGATGTTGAAGGTTCGGATAACAGCACGCGGTCAAAAATAATCCTGGTAAGCAAAGTTATAATTCCGATACATTATCAGATCTATGACTCTCAAGCAAAATTTCGAAGTAATAAAGTTTTCTAATAAAAACAACGAACAACCTTCCTCCTCGTCCCATTCTTCGTCGTGCATATCCAATACATCGTGTACCTTGCTCAGATGGCATAAACGTTCGAAAGAAACGTTCGGCAGGACAAATTTTGGGAACTGAAAACATATAGAATTACAAAGTTTAGTATGCCAAGTCATCAAGTTTTGAGCAGTCACTCTAGAAAACAAGAAAATCGTTGAGAATATTAAGAACTTTTACCTTCTGCAGAATGTGAAAACAAACTCGATCGATATATACATCCACGGCGTCTCTTAAACGTATATCTACCATCTAATGCTGCTTCCGCATTACGTTCCACATCACATGATGGAGTTGTACTAGGCGAAGTCCCAAAATTAAGTACATTAGCAGCGATCGCCGGTTTGTTCCACAACTGAATACATTCACAGATTTACTAAAATCCAGTACACAAATAGCAAAGAGTCTAACTATAAACAACTCTATACAAACATTTGTGATTAATGCTGCGATGATAAAAAACTAATTGCGTCAATTCTTAGAGTAATACAAACATTTTCTCGGTAAGTTTTTTCTTTATCAGAATACTTCAAATAACACTCACTTCTGCATTTCGCCTCAGCCATGATCTTGTGACTAAATCGTTATCGCTTACAGATAACGAATTCTTGGAATGTCGCTTTCTTTTTTGCCCCTTTATTTTTGATGGTGACATAGTAATCAGCATTTCATCCTGGAACCGACAGCACAAAAATTGATGAAAAAATCACTACATATGTACTGTTAACAGAGAATTTAATCTCATAATTTCTTGCTGCAGATTAATGAAGTCTAGTGCGAAGAACGAAAAAACTAGTAGTAATTTGTACATCCAGAAAAAGACATAGGATGAATTGAAAATCTAAGTAATTGAAAGAAAATTTAATACTGAATAAAGTCTTAAAACGGAAGTAAACAAAAATGCTAATACTAACACAAATTTAAACTAACTTGAGAATCTTCGATAGGACTTGTAGCCATGTTTCGCTCTAACTTTATCTGAGTCAAAATATCATTGTAAATGACGGAATCAAAATCACTCATGTTCCACCGAGTTTTACATATTTTCTCATCGAGATCTACGATAGCTTGTTTAACATGTTCTCTGAAAATCATTTCAGAATCTATAATTTAAGTACTTCATGTATCCCATCGTGTCATAAAAAACTGATTGTAGAAAAAAAGAGACACAGTTTACATCCTTTACCTTCGCCTAATCATATCAAAGAGAGCAACAGCTCTGCTCAGATCATGGCCAAGTTTAAGGATTTTTTCATATGAATCCTCATCATTCTTTCGATTTTTTCTAGTTTGCATTCGTTCCAGACGTCGCCGAAATGCTACATACGCCATATCAGAACTAGATGCATCCCTTCTAGCATCTGTTTTAACCCGCGGGATCAATGAGGCAATTTTACGTGATGCGGCTGCATCCTAAAATTCATACCATCCCTACAAACAGAAAATATAAACTGAAGTAACAAGTGTAAGACAAGAAGATCGTCGTCCCTACTATCATCGCTTGAGGAGAATTAAAGTGCAGCGTGGAAAAATCAACTATAGTGTACTCGAAATTGCAGAAAAGGATTGATAAAACACTGCTAATCAGAGTCTAGCTTCATGCTTTGTCGTTTAAATTTAATTAAACAAATAATTTGTATACCTTGCGCTTTTGTAACCAGTAATCATATACATCATCAACGAGATCTGTTTCAAAATCTTTGAGCAATATATGTGCTTCATTAGGTTGACATATTTGTAAACCACTGCTGGCATTCTCCAATAACTCCATCATCTTCTCGAAGTCACTCTCCGCAACATGCCCCCCCCTATCGGCCAACCATGCCTCGTCTCCACTGTCGATATCGTATTCAGGTTCTTCATTTCCAAGTGATAATGAAGCTATAATGGTAATAGTCAATCCATGTAGAAGAAAATGAATAACTCTAATCTCCTTCAAAATTATCTTTCAATTTCAGACACTCGGGCGATTTTTCATAGCTCTACCACAATACACACTCTTTCAATAAAAATAAGTAATTCTACAGAATTCTTGAAAAGCTGTAATGAAACTCTGGGACTAAACATCTACACAAGTCTTATATCCAAAATGTGACACGACGACCGAAAATTTCCACAACAAAAGTTCTCAAAATTTGTTGAACATGAACTGACAAGTACAAAAAAGATAACATGACTCTAATTTTAAGAATGACAAAAATGATTCAATGCTACACCTTAAATGCTTCATATATGCCTGCTAATGAGATTGAGTGGTCAAGTACTCAATCTCATTAGTACTGATTGAGTACTTGACCACTCAATCTCATTAGTGGTTATATATGAAGCATTTTAATTAGTAATCCAATTGAAACAGAATTACTAGTCAACCATTGCACAAATGAAAAGATTAGCGGGTATAAAACTTGCCAATTTGAGTGGTCAAGTCCCCCTCTTATAAATAATGATTTTATTACCAAAATATTCTATTATTAGCTATATATATATATGGTATTGAAATTTATATAACTCTAGGAACTCCGCTGAATCACAAAAGTAATTTTTAATAAGAAGCATAGATGCATCTCAGACAGAAATGTGTCTAACAAATACAAAAATGGAAGAGTTATGGGAAATCTACTAACAAATTAAGAACTAGCGTGAATCGCAATTCTATCCTGAAATCAAATTATTTTCCATTTGATCATTCAAAAGGTATGTGTGTAGCACTGAGTTTAGTAAACGTTATTTCTGATCAATCAGAATCTTCTTGCCATAAATTTACAAAAAAAAGCAATAGCTGACTAACTGAATACTACATTACGTACAAAGTTACCTGCAGAGTACACGAAGTCAAAAAAGCTGACATTTTTGTCATATGGATATTTGTATCAAATTTTCCATTTTCTAGCATTAGACATAGCAAATAAAATTTATAATAAGATCAGTCAAATTTTCGCACATTCAACAGCATAAGTTGAATACACTTGTCAAACATATCAGCTTGCGCGAACTCTCATAGTCATTTAAAAAAATAAACCACAATACAGCCTATCCTTTGCTCTTCAAAATATCTGGAATGATCTATTTTATTGCGCAAGACTCAGAAATGAAATTATTACTAGAAAGTGTAACAACAAGTTCTGCAATGGCTGAGTTCCTATTCAAATTGGCCGAAAATTCATTTCCATTACTAACTACGAAGCTGGTGATGAAAACTTAAAAATAAACAGAAGGACTAAGTCATTTACAAGTCAACTGCTTTCATTAATACAGCGAAAGGTGAAATGAGAAATTATTTCAGCATTCCTCAAAGCAAATATGTTATATGTGGATCAAGATTTGTGAAAATACTTGCCCATAAAAGAGAGATGAAATCATCATTTACTACATGTAGATTCAACTATTTCATAATCATCTCGTAGGATGGTTAGAGTTGACAAAGTTAGGAGGCAAAAATGTTGAATGAATAAGATGAGAGTGACATATATAATTCACAGTAACAAGTTCAAGATGGAAAAAATTAATGTGGATAGAAACAAAGTACAAAATGAATATTAGGAAATCCTGCTTTTAAGAACACGAGAGTGAGTATAAGTGAGGCATTTATACCTTGAACTTTGATGAGCTGATTGATAGATGGTGCTGGCTGAACTGGATAAACAGCATCGTAGTAACCACAATCGACAGTGAAAACTTTTGGCGTTGGGATGAGATGATTTTCTACAGCAATACCCGATGTGCTGGCCTGCTGTGCAAGGATTGCCTCTTGTAAATGAGACTCCTAAAAGTAATTATTTCACAAATCCTCAGTCTACATTCACAGCCAAAAATAAGTGAATGTAAAGATTAACTAATCCCACTTTAAGTACTCTTAAACAGGTTGATTTACCGTTAACATATCTTTCTTTAGAGTGACAGAGCTAACAAAATATAGACTATTTACACACCAATTACATGAGCCAAAATGAATCTTTATTTTACACAAATTTTTTTAACATTTGAAACACGAGTAAGCTGAACTGATCATGGTGATATATATTCGAATTCACCCTTCTACTTATATAACAAATTACAAAATGAATATTAGGAGGTTCTGCTTTTGAGAGCGCGATAGTGAATATAAGTGAGGCACTTACAACTTTGAGCTCTATTTATATATAAAGCTTCACTTTCAAATCAAATATACAAAAGTAGAAGGGTGGATTCGAAACAATACTGCATCCAAATAAACCAAACTAATTTTAGTAAAATCTTATCTACATCAGTACTTCATTTTCTTTTCTATCATACTCGCTGCTACTTACCAACTCACAGCTATATAACTGAATGAAAAGAAATAATGGACAATGTTCTCCCCTTCCTATTTCAAAGCAACATAAAGAGAGCAAGATTTGATTTCGATCACCTACAAACGATAAGATTATTATCAAGCCGACTGACTCGACTTTTATCAATGAATCGTTCCTACTACTTTAAACCTTTCAAAGCAGCTGCGAAAAATTTCAGAGCAATTATTATGCATAATTTCATAGATGTACAATAATTCTTAGTAATACTACTCAGATATGTGCTGGACTGTGCCAAATCATTACTTCCATTCATTATTACATCACAATAATTATCACCACAATAGATAAGAATTAATTCACAACTCAACTGCCTAATTTTCTACTAATCCAACATCCATATTTATCTATTTATCACAAGTAAATGCAACACAATGCTTGCTTGCAGAAATGAATTTTCGAGCGAACTACCTATCTTGAAATGAATCCAAGTCACGTTCACTGGTTATATATTTAACAATCGCATCATTGATATATACTACAGATTTTTCTTGATCTTCCTGGAAACATACTTAATAAGAGATGTGATGGAATGAATTATGCTACACAGACCTCCAATAATTACTGATTCCTCACTTACACGTACTCAATCCTTTAGTCACAACACAGTACTGAGTTCATTAACAGTAATAACGGCTATCATTTCATTGCAAATGATGGACTTTCATTTTGTCATGATTTATTTAACACTCAAATACCTCTAAGTAACACCTCAGTAGTGTATCCCATCAAGACAAGGGGCAATGCAGCAGTAACTACAGATCATCCAATCAGCCACTACAACATACTTAAAGACGATTGTGTTAGCAATCATGATACTCTACTGGGCAATTATTGTTGAAAAGAAGACCTCTGTAAATTTAACCAGATTTATATCTCATGCACAATAATAGGTGAATTTACTCAAAACAAAGTTAAACACTGGATTAGTAACTAAATCTTTTTGATCATAAGTAAAAACAATAAATTATGTATGAAGTATTGAAAAGCCGGAATGAATTAACTGAAATGATCTTTAAACAACTTTTGATATATGCAAGCAGACTGCAAAATATTGATAAATCATCTACACTTGTTCATTCATTCATGAAGAAAACTAAGGTCAAGAAGTTACAGTGAAATTTAAAAGAAAATGCTAAACTCTGATTTCAAAATAAAACCTAAGAAAAAAAACTTGATGCATTACGAGAATTCAGAAGTTATTTTAATAAACACAAGTGTATGTAACTGTCAACAACAGACATCCCTATAAGTGAAACCATAAACTTTTAGACCACATCACGTCAATTAACAAATATGACAATGACTGAAAAGTATACCATTACAAACTGCTATTGCACATGATTGACATGATAAGAGACTGGATTTTTTCAGAAATATGCAAGACCTGACAAATATGACTTTCACACTTCAGCAAACACAAAAGATGCTTCCAGAATAAGCAAAATCGAAACAACACACAATCGCTTCAACACTTTATAGTCCATACTATACGCTTTATTTCTACGTTTTTAAATAACATTGCAATCAGTTATTAACACCTCTAACTGAATTATTTCTCCACTTCTTGATGATGCTTGGTCATAGGAACATTTGTGAACACTGCTAAGGTCCTGCCTCATGTTTAAACTTGACATTAAATTCCGATCATATGGATGTTTCCGTAGCCATTTGTTCATGATAAAATGCGTAACAGCCTGATATGTTCAACAGATACGACGAGCAGTGATGGACGTAGCGTGAAAAAGTATGAAAGATGTATAATTACTGCTAAGCAGTTAGGAGCTGTGTTCAATAAGACGAGATGAAATCATACATGATAGTAAAAGCAGTAGTAAAGTGCTTAATTGCAAAAGAGTATGATGGTATTACGCAATAAAATGAAAAGGTAATAGCAAAAGACCGACGAAAGATGAAACGAACAAAAATAAGTGTACTGTAATCAGATAAGTATACCTACATTTTCTTCATCTTTCTCCATACCCGTCGGCATCTGAGCTACTGCCCGATTGATTGGCGTACATTCCGCAAGGTCAGGTAACTCTTGCGCGCAATACACAGGCATCGACTTTGTAGCATCCAAGTTCCTTGCTCGGAATGATAACTTGCTGGTTGATGCCATGATTACGCACTTATAAATATAAATATATATGTGCACAATTCTTAACTTTCGTGGTCTTCTTCCTCAGTTTTTTTTCAATTCAAATTCAAATATAATAAATACTGCTTGCAAGTGAGTATAAGTGCAGATAAAATAGAAGTAACTAGAAAATAATGCGGCCAGCACTGCCGTTAAATACAGTTGCTATTGCTATCTTTGTTACGTGGTATATGTGCATACATAAAGATAAGACATATATTCAGAAGATACTTTCTGAGTGGCTTTGTAACCGTATACTTGCTGGGTAGCAACAGCAGCAGCTGCTGCTACTACTACTGCACCTTCACACGCCGTTCAACCTATTATTACAGCGAACTGAAATCAATCCATCGAGATCATTCTCGAGGATGCCAGCAATCCCATCACATCATGGCATTGCCAAGGCACAATAAAAAAACAGCAAAGCCTAATACAAAAAAGATTATTTCGGTAGGAATGCTACCATAGCTCACCATGCATACAACTTCCACCCTGGTACAGCGGGGGAGGGGAGAGGTCAGAAGGGCGGGACATCAGGACGAGCGAGCCAAACTTCTCATGCCCTCCATCCTACCCCGCTGCATTCCTAGAGATGAGGATATGTTGAGCTGTACTACCGTCACTATCCCCCGATAACGCTCAATACATGCCAAACTTGTCAGCCGCTCACTACGCTTTGCCCGACGACGCATGCGTGTGTGCGTGCGTGTGCAAGCGTGTGTGTGTGCTTCTGTCAGTCTGCCGATGTGCATGTGTATGAGTGTGGAAGAAAACTAGAGATAAGAGAGGAAAGAACCCGTTGTGGAGGACAAACGACGCACACACCCACCTCTGATAGCAAAACTCCTTGCACTGACTACATCGATCGATTCACCCCACCCCTACGATGCTGCACAGACACCGCGAAACACAGTGAGCAGAGGGTCGGCAGATGTATCAGTGCTGGAAAAGAATACGGAGAGGAAGAAGCAGAGCACCTCCAGAGACACGCCCCTCGAGAGGATGAGGATGAATCATACACGTGCACAACTGGCGTCTTGCCCCACTATACGCCTAGTAAATGAGGGGCCGTATATACCATGTAGAGAGAGACCTCCAGCAAGCGTTCTTTCACTTTAGTAATAATCAATTACCACATCAGTTTAGCTGCGTCACTAGTCAGCTTGGATACAGAACTGGCCTTCATGTGCATGTTTCCATCCATAACCACGTCAATTCTTTCACCAAAACAATGTTTCAAACTGTCTTGTTCCCTGCATTTAGTAGGAGCGTCTTCTCCCACCTTCCAATTGATCATCACATCAAACACTCGCTCCCAAGATGATATGTCTCAGTAAGAAATATGTTCTCACACTGCGTAAAGAACTTCATGACATCTGAGTTGAGTGCATGAGCTACTCACCCGGTACAAGCTGCCTTTAATAGATTAATTAACATCAAACACCAATAGTTGGATATGGTTACATTCAAATGCAGTACAATTATGCATGTCTTCAAAGCTGCAACACTCTTTGTTCGATAGCAAACAACTCTCACACACTTCCAAAACTGGAATTCCTTATTTCATTCACAGTACTGTCTACAGTCACCACTCACCTAACTAAATATAATACTGAATAAAGACCCACAAGACTTTGCAATAATTATATAGCTTAATATAATGGAACTTAATTCCAATTATCTAGCTAGCATCACTTCAGCAAAAAAGTTCAGCAATTAAGTCGCAATTACACACTGGGTATTTTCAGCTTAATATTAGTCAAAACATTGCAATACAATCAAACACGCACTTCCAAGTTACAGGAGTACGTAAAAATTGAGGGAATAGAACTGAAACTGCTTATCAAGTTATCTTTTTTTCACAAGACATACTTTTTGACATCAAAATTCAGATTTTTCTTTCACAATAGGAAATGAAGAAAAACATATAGTAAGCACATATCCAGCACATAAGCAGTAGTGACAAATGACAAAATACATAGTGCCTTTAAGACATTTTGCAATTTTCTGCATTTATTAAGAATATGCAAACAATTGTGATGCATTTCTCAGAAAGTTATCCAAAAAAAAGTCATAATAAATAATAACCGCATAATGCAAAGGAAGCTCTAAACTGAAGTTAGTCACAAGTAACTAATGCAAACACTTACCAAACATGAATCATAATCATCTCCGCGATCAAATTATATACTCAGATAGAGTATGTATATTATCCAGTATTTCTCCAATGAAATTAATTGATGTAATCATATTCCACAATATTCAGAAACTATTCAGTAAACTGATCACTAATAAATACCAATGAAAATAATGGAATAATTAATTGCATTTATTCTTTGTATTGATAATTAGAAGAGAATTCACAGAACAGCTGAGAATTTGGTATTTATATTGCGTTACATCTCTTCCTGCCATCAAAATTTTCCTGACAAGAAATTAAGTGTATAAAACTCTAGAATAAAAGCAAAATATAATAAATCACCTGAAATCGATGCAGACTTTCGATGTAATGAAACGCCATTTCAATCACATCACGTCCTTCATATTTTGATATTTCAGTACATCACTTAAACAATGAATTCACGGCAACATACTAGTACTGCTTATCACTTCACGTGCGCACAGATATAGATTTCTACAAGTGAAGCTTTTGCACAAGTTGAGTTTTAATTAAATTAGATACAATTTAGAAGACAGATAAGGAATTTGCATGAAATAAGATTAAGCTACGAACTCTGTATTTGAAATGGAGGAGAAACAATAATCCGCATTCAATATGTGATCGTACTGCTCAAGAATTAGAACTTTATGTAGAACTAAGCAAGAGCAATTTATTCAATTAAGTTAAGCTGCGAATGATAGTTTGTAAAGCTACCATAACAGTTGACAAACTATCAACCGTAACTTGACTAAATAAAGTGTTTTGCTGATGTCTGAATTGAAGAAGCCTCTTTTTCTCTGCACAATAATGGACCATTTCAGGATTGTTGACTTTGTGCAACTTTGAGTAGAAAGAAAGCTACATTAGCACCAATCAATGTCTACTTACGTATTAATTATACATTTGCTATACACAGTGTGCTGTTTATGAGGCATAAATTAGAGTAAATCCTAGCATTTTTTCTGCCAATTAAGATCGCTAGTAAGTCGTATTTATTAACAAAACCTACAAAAACCAACATCTAACAGACAAATAAAACCATTACCTATATGGATTGTATGTTTTTACGACAGTTTAGCAAGACACTGAGATTTTAAATGTTCTTACTTAGTGATAAGTTACGTAAAATATAGTTTGAGACAATTTATAGCAGAATTAAAGCATTTATATATTTGAAGTCACAATACAAATGCAATTTCAAGTAGTGGCCAATCGCAATCATATTCAGATGAAGTAAGATTTAGAACTTCTTAGCATTCTGATGATGAAAATCCCGACATCACTCCAACAACTTCTTACTGTTGCAGACAAATCTAATCAACAGCTTATTCAGAACAAAGCAGCCAATCATGCAACAATCAATAACATGACTTCCAGCAAAGAAAAAGATGATGCAAGCTAAACATCAATGTAAATGAACTGGACTTCAACAATACCATACAAATCACGCGTTAACCGATAAACAAAAAAAGACCCAATAATGAGTGCTTGCAAGCCTAATACATGACGTGCATGACGTGTATCTTCTTTCACTACAAGATGAAACAGATCGTACTAGAACAGATCAGCTATCACCACCACAGCAAGCAGTGTCTACTCGCACGAGTTCCATTCAGGTCGCCTCTGTCTGCTTCTTCTCCTACTCCTTTTCTCTTCCTCTCTTACAAGCCTGCCTTACTTTACCGCACAGACACAAATACAGATAGATACATGTGTATGCAGACACGTACATGCGTACACAAACGGATACATGCTGGAACACGCACATCTATATCTCACGTCTATATGTGTACGGAAGCAGCGAAAAGACGCACACCCGCAAGCGCGGACACACGCAGTTATAGCGAGAATTAAAGAAATATGCATTCGAGCGCAGACAGACAGACGTTCAAATAAATTTTCAAGTTGTGTGCACATGACAAGACGCATACGAACACGTGAGCAGATAAGATGCATACGCATGGCAACTTGTATAAAAAGTATGATCTTGAAGAACTGCGCCTGATACATTGAAAGAGCTTACGATTAGTTACCCCACACTGATGAGATGCAACATGAGATGCAAACATGTAGTGTAAATTACAAATTAGAATGACCTCGTGACAAACACTGCTCCCTCCATTCAGACTATTTCCTTGCAGAAAAAAAACACGTTAATATAGAAGCTGGCAGCACATATCTATCGTTATAATGCCACAATTATCAGTGGCGAGATAAACATGTCAGTATTACCTCTTTATGTACTATTACCACTTAATTAATTACTTCCATTTACGTTACCAATTTTGTACCGACAAAGGAGATTGCTCACTTTTTAGCGCCAGATACTCATTAAAAAGTCCAATTTCCGTGAACCACTCGAAGATCATCATAATCAGCACTATGACGGCTGCTTGTAAAAATCACTTTTCTTACAAACTTCTCATATACAACAAATCTTCATGCACTACAACAAAACATGGTATCTTTCGATGTCACAACTTGTATTCCTGTATAAACCGACTTTCCACCGCGGGCCGAATCCTCATCTGGCACAAACAAATCAATAGCATCTATCGCATCTTCAGAAAGCACAGTCCATACTACGCAGTGGTGCCATGAAAAGATCAGAGATTAAAAATTCACTCTGACTTTTTGCAAAAGTATATGCGATCACGTTTGGCTCTGAACAAATGCCACTTTTTCCTGCAGCAAAAATGCTCACAAAAGTGCAAACAAAAATGGACATAATCAAGAATAAAATTTGGGCAACTATTACCGAAATAAGGAATAAAAATACATACATATGTGTATGTATTTCATTCATAAGTGAGTTTCTAATCCATATATATTGATTGATTGATTGACTGATGACTTGATTGAAGCATTAGTTAGCTGGCGAGTACAAATTTGGACAAATCTGAATCAATAATAAAATGGACGGCATATGTTTCGGACACGGAAGAACTTTGCACAGTGGCATTGTCGAAAGCTGAAATGGTTGCACATCGATCCTTCTGGTTGTGCCAAGCTGTATGAGAATTTTTCTCTGTGAGTATTGTCGTTGATGTAAGTCTCTAGGTATTGGTAGTAGTGGCATTGGTAACGAAAGTTGTGTGGATTGGTGGTGTTAGGAAGGACAAAGTGTTGGAACGGTGCATTGTGCAAGTTAGCAGTAAGGTTTTTTCTGATATATCAGCTTACGAAAAAAGCATTGTTTATAAGAAGCACAGAGATATAAGAGGTTACTAAAGATTGTGCACCTTCACAACTTGAAAGGCAAACGTTGCGCAAGATTCCTTAAATGGGAAAGTTAAGAAGCATCTAAAACGATTTGAAGTGAATTAGTTGATCAGGTTGGGATTGGTTTGTCCTGACCTTAGTAATTGCCGTTCACGCTGTCAGTTCTTGCTATACTTATATGAATAAATTGATAACTATGCATTCTGAATCAAACGTTTTTTTTGCTATATTTTATTTTATTTTTTTGAATTTCTCTGAGTAGTTTCAACTTAAATACTAATGTGTCCTTGTAGAAATGGAGGAAGACGAAATTAGTGTTGAAAGTGAAGAAGCATTGCGGCAGGAAGATATTCTGCGTGTTGTTATTATGGATGATAATACAGATAGTCATATTGGTGAATCTGATGAAGAAAGCAACAACTGTTTGCAAGTTGACGAATTATTAGGTTTGCGCAAACTTTTTGTATGTTAACGAACGCTGCTCCTTTAAATATTATGAGTTGTAGCATTAAAAATCTAATTACATAGTCTCCTCTACTTTACCAAAAAATCTCTTAGGGAAATTCCGATTTAAAGGTCCCCATTTTTAATATTTTAACGAACAGTGAAGCCAGTCAAAGCATTGGTTGCTTGTTATAGATAGTTGATCAAAGTTTGTTTCATATTGACAATTCATATTATTAATTTTAATCTTTTTAGTCTTTTATTAGTGCAAGATTATGTGGAATTTCAAAAATTGAGCAATCAAACTTTTAAGATGAAAGTATGGATGCAGCTGAAAATAGTAATAATACCAAAAGGCATGAAGATGGACATTTTCCAAGTCTAATCACCGAAGCCGATGTTATCATTGGTGCAAGCAAGGACGAAATATTCGTTATAACATGTTTTCAAAATCATTGGCTAGCTGCTGGTGGAAAAGATGACCAAGCTGTTTTGTATGCGATAAAAAATAATGGTATTTTTTTAAACTAGTTGGTAGCTAACTTAAAATTGAATGTCTATGCGCATCAGTTTGCTGTCAATGGTAAAAGAAAGTCTCAAGAAGTACGCTTTTATTTTTAGTACATAATTCAGTTTTACAAACTGAAATGAAGATAATTATTGTGAATTTAGTTCGAGTAATATAACTTTTCTTGTAGAAAATTGAATTCTTATAATAAATATACATTAAAATTCATCGCTTTAGAATGATTCATTTATATAGTATAACGATGAATTGTGTGGAAGCCACTTCAAAATGTGTTCATAGACTTTTGCTTTCTTGTTTTACGCACATTTTAAGATTTTGAACCTGTTCTGAAGCTGGACGATCATAATGATAGTGTGATATGTGCCCAGTTCAATGGGAATGGATATTTGCTTGCCACTGCGGATATGGGTGGCTTAATAATAATAACTGATACTAAACAAATAAAAAAGTGCTTTTTAGTAAGTTTCGAAGTATTAAACTGGTGTTTGATGGCTTTGCAAGCGCACAGCTGATTTTCATCTGTATTTAAAATATGCAGTGAATCAGAATTTTCATTTCTTCAAGTACTTGATTTTTAGATTGATGATTGTGAAGAATTGTCATGGATGCAGTGGCATCCTTCTGTGGATATTTTGTTTGCTGGCGGTAAAAACGGTATCTGGATGTGGTTAGTTACGACAGAGAGTGTTCAGCAAAGAAAGGTTCCACAGCTTAATCCTTCTTATAATCCTGTAGGACTGTTATCTTTATGTTTTATTGGCTATCGTATCTCTGGTTGTTGACATTATAACTCATAGGTCTATGTCTGTGACTCGCCCTCTGTATCTACAGTCGGTAAACTTTTGAGTGATGGAAAACGACTTCTTTCATGCTATGAAGATGGTATTATAAAGTTATGGTCTCTTAAAGACGGGAAATCAATTAATATTGTTACGCGAGCTCAGAGTGCTACATGCATGGATGTACACCATAATTTACCGATCGCAATTGTTGGCGATCTTTCTTCACACTGTTATTTAGTCAGTACAGATTCTGCCAAATTGCTTAGGATATTTGCTGTAAATGAAAATATTGAGGTGAGTTGTCGTGTTTTTTTTATCCTTTAAGTATCAAGTTTTCAGATTATAGTAAACTAAGTGTCTTTTTATTTATTTATTTTTGTTCATGTATTTTTATAGACTTCTGAAGAGGCGGTAGAATGCGTAAAATTTTGTCCTTCAATAGAGTCTTGGTTTGCAGTCGGTACAAATTATGGTCGTTTCGCAATATATGATTTTATTTCTGGTATCTTACGTCACACTCTTATGAACACCTCTGATCCAGTAGTAAATTGTTTCTGGCATATTACTGATTCAAATGAAATGTACATTATCTGCGCCAGTTATAACGGTACTGTTAAAGTATGGAATGGTCGTAGTGGGATTCCATTCTTGGTAATTTTAAAAAAATTATAGATGAATAAAAACTTCGCTTATTTTTCTAACGATAGCGCCACCATGTGACTACTGATTTCTACCAAAAAAACAAGCTATTGTCAAAAAAAGTTTGACAGGGATAGCATCAATCATTTTAAACACATCTAATGTTTTGGCAGTGGTAATTGTTATTCTTCTTGACAGAGTTGCCTTTTTAAAATTACTATATGATCACTTTGTTCCAAAAAACAATGCTAGTCAAAATAGTAATAATGTATCGCTGTTTTTTATAGGCAGCAGTTTCACAAACCATCGCGAACAAAAATTCGTGCTTACTGTCAATGGATTTCGTTGTCAAAGAGCCAGTTTTTTATACTGCTTACAGTTCAGGACAAATTTGCAAATTTTCTGTTATAGACCGGTGAAATTTCAAAGTTTTGCAAGAAGTTCTAAATTAGTTGATGTATGGTCTATGCAAATGCAAAAATTTTCTAAATAATGGCATTGTGAAACTATATTTCTCGTCCTTGGACATATTTTGGTGCTAATTCAGACAGAGAATCTATTATACTGTGTATATAATTTCTTTCGGAAACTTGCTTTTTGTTTTGCTGTTACTTAATATTACTGAGGTATTATAACATCTTGTTGTATTGAAAATAATTGGTAAAATTTTTCAAGAAAATACTGGTTTCTGAATTTTTAAAGCATTTCGATATTCATTAATCGTTCCATATTTTGCACGTCGTATCAAAACTCATTGTTTATTCACTTGTAAAGAACTCGGCCAAATTATGTATTTTTACTGCATGTTTGGAACGTATGTAAATTTTTAGATGTCGTATCAGTTGTACAGGTCTACTACGTTGGGTATGGCTCTTCGGAGTACTTTAGATGAGTTTGTCGAGGTATACATTTAAATACTCTTTTGTTGTTGCAAAGTTACGTTAAGAGAAATGAATGAGTTTGGTATGCATTTTATCAGATGATATTGCAGGATGGTACAATTACGCTTTCATTAGCCCAAACAGTGATTGTAACTTTTGATAAATGTATCAACAGGGCTTTATCACAACGGGTTAAGAACAGAGTGTATGCATTTTATAAGATAATTTTGCAGGATGGTACTATTACACCTTCATTAGCCCAAACAGTGCTTGTAACTTTTGATAAATGTATCAACAAGGCTTTATCACAGCGGGTTAAGAACAAAGTCAATTTCAAGGTGAGATCCTGTTATTTCTCTTATCTCTTTGCTAGTCTTTATTGAGACTAAACAACCGATATGATATTCAGAATTAGTAAGATTGATTAAGTTGCCTGGATTTCTGATGTGTGTATTTGTTTTAATTGTCGCTTAAAAAATTAATGGAAGAAATGGGAACTTAGAAAAATAGAGTTTTATAAAAATAGGCGGATTTGTTCTCAAATTTGTTATTCCAGTTTCATTTATATCGGTTTGTGTATGCAGCTATCGTTAAGAAACTGAATCTATAATTAAGTAATAAAATAAATTATTGTAAAGCACTCTGAAATTTTCTATGCAGGCTGACAAATTAAAAGCATATCGATTTTGTGACAACGTCTGGACATTTGTTATGGAAAATGTGGAATTCCGGGATGTATCGCAACCAGTAGATGGTATTGTTGATCGAGTCAAAATTGTTGCCTGTGATGCAAGTGCAGCAAAACTAGCTAACGCTTAAATAAAAATTTTGCAGTACTCGTTTGATGCCTTTCATTGCTTGAAGTGTTATGCCAGAAATTAGTATGGAATTATAAGTTCGTATTTATTTGGAAAATATATTGTCTTGTTGTTTATGAAAATAAACTGCAGGTAATGTTATGCTGCATTAAAAATAGTTCCAGTAGCAATGTCGAAAAACTTATCTTTGCAATTATTTAAAAAGGGGAATTCAAGGATGTATCTTAGCCCTTTTTGTAGGATTTTGACCTCAACATTTAATTCACTTTTTTAAATTGTTTTTTAATAAAATGAAACAGTGGCAGGCGATTTTTTATCGTGTTATCAGTGCAGTGCAAATATTGAGGCCTGAAATATCAAGTGTATCTGTGTTCTAAATTCACTCAAAAGTAATGGATTATGATTTTTGATAATCGTTGATGTAATGCTATTTGGTTATCGAATTATTTTCATGTGAAATTACAGGTAATTCATATTTGGAAAAGTTAGTTCTTAGAGATTATGAAAAAGAAATGTAGCTTTGTTTGTTTGTTGTATAGTCTATAATATTATTTCTGTTGTTGTAGTGTCTTAGTAATTTCTAGTCTATAAAGCAGTTCTCCTTTTTTTTGGATTCTTTTTCTATCGCAGATATCACAAAACATATTTTGTGTGAATTCGTATAGAGCTTTTTTTTTAAATCTATTGGAAGTACGAATTACGTTATGGCTCTGTATTTTTGGGATGTATACAGTCTTTGAATGAGTAAGTCCTAGTCACTGTTTGTTAATTCCGTTGTGTAGTATCATGTATGAACATATACTTCCTCACAAGTTAGTTTCAGAAAATAAATTTTCTTGCTGAATATTCAGTTCAGCCTTGTTTTGTTTTCTGCAAGGAACAGGTGCATCGTGTGTCTTAATTTCCCTGGTCATGCAAATAAGACGGTACTAACTGGAATTTTTTTCCTATGTTGTCGAGTTTTTTCCAAAATGTTCAGACTTTCAATGGATGGGTTAGCTATTGTCAATTTTTAGTTAAGGATTTGCACTTGAGTAGATTTTGCTTCTATATCGTAAAGGTTTGATTGTCGTGTAAAAAGCTAAGAATTAGTTCACTACATGAAGTATAGTAATGCAAAAAAATTCTGAAAGCCTGATTAAAGATAGAAATTTTTATCTCGAACAACGTATATGAGATCTTTACACGGATATTTTGTAGAAACTTTTGCACAGTAGTAAAGTCAGTGCAAAAACTTGATCTTTTGGAACCAAAACTCTTTCTTGTTTCGATTATAATTATCTGTTGTGACACGGCAGTATTAGTGGAACAAGATTATAAGTTGGAAATGTGATTGCGGGTCGTCATATCTTAGATATGATTATCGGAAATGTCATGAGTGTTGTTAGCATCTGAATATTGGATCACTTTGCTCAGTTATTATTATTTTCCAATTTCAAACAATTTCAACTATAGTTCTGCATTAATAAAGTCATAATTAGATGCGATTAATCACATCATGAGTAGTTTCGAGTTGCTTTTCAGTTACGGATTTCAAATCAAATTAGATTTTGCAAATTTTATAGTTTTCATCTCATGTAGTTATGATCATTTGAAACTTGTTTTTAATTTATATCTGCAAGTTTCTGAAATTACAGCAGTGTTCTCGAATAGAAATTTTAGTCTAAATAAAAGTGAAAGGGCCGAGTATTGTATGAGTTTAAGAATGAATTCCAGCTGTGAATAATTTTAAAACGTCAAAAAATTGTCGCATGGCAACTCCACATCAAAAATTATTTATAACTATTTATCTGACGATTTCACCAATTAGAATCGAGATCTCTTCTCTTGGTATTATTATTTCAAATGAATTGGTTTTCTTTGTAATTTTTCGTGTTTTCCGATAAATTATTGCAATTTTGATGATATTATTACTTTTCTTGACTGTCGAAGATTGTTCAGTTCTGCAGGTTTTCAAATTTAAGAAATAACTGTTAATTCTTGTTTCAATAACTTTTAGCACAATTTTTCGTCGCAAACTTTCAAATCTATTCCACTGAATTATAGTTACCTTTTGCATAGGTAAATATAAAAGTGATGATTGCAAGTATGATGTCAAATTTTTTAATTTGTTGGTGGTAGCAGAATCACAGCAAGATTTTGGAGGCAAAGTAACGCAAAGGTAAAAGTAACAAAAAATGTTGAAAATTTTTGAAAAAATTTAGGTCGAAAATGGCCAACTTTGGCAAAAGTAATCATTTTAAAAACTTATTTAAAATTATTTAAGTGAAATGAAAATGGAAGATCGAAACTCAAATGTGCCATCACTGATCGTGGCTCTAGATAATGATTTTCCCGATAAGCTGAACTTCTTTTGTCCAGTAGTGTTAGTTCCTTATCAAGTTACCAACTGATCACCACATCTCAGCTTGCTATGTTACCTAGTAATTCCATCAATTATTCTTTTGGTGATAAAAACTGATTGGCAAATACTTGAAATCGCTGCAATTAATTTGTTAAGCAAAGTTTTAATTTAGGAATAATTTACAACGCGACCGTTTTTGTTATGATAATTACGACGCTTATTCAATTGCATGCGTAATTGATTTGCAACCACTTCAATTGGTACTGTTATAAATCTGAAATTATTGATTGCTTAGTGCGAGTAAAATGCAGAAATTCTTTTTTTTCTTGACATTTATTGTTTTCTAGCAGTTCCATTTTCAAATTAAAAAATTTTTGCTACCTTCATTATGAATTACATAAACGACAAATGTGATCACAAATATTTACTCTGTACTGCTTGATGCAGGTGCCATTCTGCTTGGGATATAAGCACCAATGTTCCAAATTAACATTTCCCAATGATCTTTGGTGTCCCAGAGAATACCGACGATATCGTACTTTTTGCACAAAATGCAAGAAATATCAATGCGACAAACTATCAACCTTACTCAAACTAGACTTGTCGTGCTCCTGCGAACCGTACAGTTGCCATCAAAACCGGTTCACACTCATTTTTTAGCACACATCCAGTTCCATTTTTAGCACTCAGTTTATGCAAAGTTAATTACTCACCATGGAAATGCAACATTAGCACAAACTTTTTCTGTAATACATTTTTTTTATATTGTAAATAATCAGACTTACTTAAGAATGGGCACACGTGTAGCGTTATGGTGTCAACGTTACGAACTATTTTGTAATAAGAAAAAACGTTTGGAAGAAAGTGAAAGGTTGTTTTCATTGCTTCCAGGAGCTGGTCACGTACATCAGGAGTGTTTGCGGTTTTTAAATATTGCTGATACCCTCTGTAATCCTTTCAAGTAAGCTTCCATTTAACTTTGATCTCGTTCAGGTCAGTGGTATTTTTCTGATAGCGTAATATTTCCTTTAGTTAAGAGTAATGAATTTGAATTGCATTATAGGAAAAACGTAATAACCCTTACACATACGTAGTAACACAGATTTAAAATAATGTTGCAAACAGTGCAATATAAAGGTACTTCATTGTACTGAAAACTTATAAGTTAGATATTTTCGCAAAAATTCTCTCGTATGAAAATTAAGTTGCTGTCTAGACCGGACTTCAGTCACGGACGCTGTATCAAGTTTTTGGTTGACTGTGAACTTATTTACAATTTTCCGATAACAACAACAATCGCAAAAGTAACAAGTCATCAGTGAAACTCGGAAATTACTGAATAGGTAAGGTGACAAGTTTAGTTTTTAATAGACTTTTTTTCCTAATATGAAATTTCGGTTATCAATGTCTCAAGGAACTGTTATTGCCATTGATCAAATAATGATCAAGTGTTTTGCGCTGTGTAATTTTGTTAAAAATAACAGATAGATACCTCTATTCGATACTTACGTACAATGAGATTATTTTAAGTCTCTTGACAAAAATTTTGGTAGTAACGATGAGAGAACATTCAATAAGGTACATAGCAATAATTATTCCGTTTTTTTGGATTTATTTGATCAGAAATGTGCATGAAAGCGTCAAATGCTGAGAAAGCGTTAGATGCTAAGAAAGTGTGAATGAATCACTTTGACCTCACGCATATGACAGATATTCGAAGTAAATTGATATCACCAGAATATCAGTGATGTTTTTGGTGAAAAAAAATGAATATTGTTACACATTTCGTAAATTATGTCAAAAATTTGACAACATTTGTACTGTTTTCAAGCAAATAAAGCAAAATATGATATGTAAACATTAAAGGTTTGTTAAATGAATGCTCGTATCAAATGGACATGCAAATCGGTTGAGGTGCGTGGATTTAATGTTGAGGAATTAGCCGGACATATCCTCACAAACTTCATTATCAAAAGTAAAATAAACATGTACTTGAATATGCAAGTAAATTTTGGGACAGATTTGCATAATTACCGAGAGTTGTCGCTTGAAAAGATAAGCTGAAACTGCAAACAAAGTCTTTCAGAACATAGATGACGACAGCTTGAATTTTGTCGCTGTAAAAAATATGCGGAGGGCGAATTTTTGGTGCCCAAATATTAGAATTTTTAGTGTTCAGCCAAAATGTCTAACGCAGAATGAATTTGCATGTTTCGTCAAAAGTATCAAACATTTTGCGTGGCCTAGACTAATTTTTTATTCTTGGAATACAATCTAGCACGTCTGCTCAAGCATTTTCTAATCTCTCCCATGAATATTTTTCGTTTAAGCTCTTTGTCATCGAAAATGCAAAGCAGAAAAATATTTGAAGCTTTTTTGTCTGCCTGCAATTTTCAGAATTCTGAATATTTAACATGTTATTTATATACCATCCTCAGTGATGCGAGTTAAGAAAATTCATTTCTATAAACTAACTTTGCCAAAATTTGCATTTCTAGTACTCAATTCGAATTGCTAAGAATACTGAAATTTGGAGAGATACTTCCTCATTACTAAAGTCAACATGAAGTCACGTTGCTTTCAATCATCACAGCCATCCATACATTCCATAATTATTTGCACATTACTCTCAAACAAATACACATCAATTAAAAAATATCGAATAAAAAGTCATAGTTATAGTTCTAAAAATGGAACTGAAATGGAAAAATTATGACCACACACACATACACACACACATACATACACAAACACACACACGCACACATACACACACACACGCACACACACACGCACAAGCACAAACGTTTGTTACACAAAGAACACAAAGAAGCCCTTTTTTGGGCATTCACAAATAAGTAGGCTTTTAAATGTTTTACTGAAATCAGCATGCATGAATATCAGTAATATAAAGTCCGAAGTGAAGTTCTCTGATTTTTTCTTTTGGCATTTACGTTTGATTCAGATTCTCATCGAAATCTATCTTGTATAGCTTTTTTAATGTTCACAAGTATGCTTCTGCTATTACTTTATAACAAAAATTAGTAAAATTTGAAAAAGAAATTTGCATGGACAGCTTAATTGGAGATATTAATAGCACAGATTGAGTTCAGCACTTTTTCTCTACCTCATTTATATAAGTAAGTTACTTTAAAACTCAGACAAAGAGATAAGAAAGTTACAAAATTACTTTGAACGTGCCTGCAAGAATAAGATCAAACAGAGTATTTCAAAAATTAAATAAATATAGGAAAGATGATTGTCACTTTATATTAATCGCAGAAACTTTTATTGCATTCATTACAAAAGCACTAGTTCGATCAGTGAATGACACTTGACCCCATTCTAATTAACTAGTTAAGAAGTTCTCTCCAATTATTGCTCTTAAGAAAAGTTAAATGAATGACATTCTCTTCTACCTACACAGCTATCTTTATTTAATAAATCACACTGTTTAAATGATAATTTTATGAATACTATCAGTAGTTTTTGCTAAATTTGAAGGCTTTTACACATTTAAACTTAATTTTATCTGTGCTATTAAGCTAAAATGTGTAGATCAGCAAACTTGACTAGTTTAGATTAATTAAGCCTTAGCCAGTTTTTATAGGCCACTGAAGCTTCAGCAAGTTTGAACGACTAGTCAAAGCCTTCTGAACCACTTTTCTCTTGTATTCGAGCTGTGAATTTTGTGCCTGGTTCATTCACGGAACAAATTCTTCGAATTCTTCACTTTCTGAAATGCTTTCTTCTCTTCACCATATTCTCGAGGCCTTTTACTTTTATCATTACTTCCATTAACTTTACTCATTTACTTTCCTTCTAACTGACTCAAATAATTTCCATATAGTTTAGTATTCATTTGCATTCACTTCAACTTACTTTCAAGATTGATTCTTAGCTATGCAAGTGATTAGATTAATTGAGTTTTGCCTCCATTAAATGGAATGTGCAAGGATTTTGGGAACTTGTTTGTCCGTAAAGTAAGAATGCTAGTTCGTCAACAATTCAGTTTCCAATTAATGGCTAATTTTAGCATATTCATATTCATTTCAAATTAAAATTGCTATAATAATTTTCATTTATTTATAGTTTACTTAAACTCACATTGACTTTTGATATAAATATTTGATTAAGATTAATTCTCTAGTTCTGAATAAATAGCAGCTACTTATTAATTGATTATTCAGCTTTAAGACTTTAGCAGCTACCTCTATTTTCAATAATAATGGCTATGCACACCAACAATGATAAATCAACGGTATCACTGGTTAGCCCTGATCTTAGCAGCAAAGATTGATTAGCAATCCTTCAAATTTTCATTTAATCAACAAGCGATAGTGATATTTACATTTCATGATTATCACATCTCGCTCTGTTTATGTATAGTTTTTCTCAATAATAATAAACAACAAAGCTTAAAGATATCTAAAACAAATAACTAAATTTCCATAAACAATTTTATGTGTTGCTTGAAAGGCATTCTCATTTTTAGATTTATCTTATTAGCGTTTCCACCTTTTTATAATCATTTTCGTTCTTTGCTTCTAGCGTTTGGTTCAATAATAAATATTTATAAATTTTAACTGAAAGAGAGGAAAATGACACAAAATAAAAATTATCATTATTATGATCATTGATTAGTATATTATGATTGAGAAATCATTATGAATAAAATTAGATGAATTATTTATGGGGTTAATTTTGTCAAAGATCAGGAAATAATCTCTCTGATCCTTCACTTTTTATCACAGCGAAGTGTTTTGGAGACAAGTATATGTGGACACGCAGAAAAACTTCAAGGATTTTCAATACAGCTCAACTTGCATAGTTGAATTTGAGGCATTCAGTAAATAACAGTCCTTAGAATCTCCTTCTCTTCTGAAATTATTCCCATAGGATCAGTAAGTATATACAGCAGTTGTGGACATCGCTAATTTTCGATTCTGCCTCATTTTTCTATTTTCTTCTACACTCAAAGCAATGTGCTAATGTCATTGAAATTATCTGAAAAACCAATTTTTATTGTGTTTTAATGTGCTAAAATATAATAGATTAAGTTTTTTTTTATTAATTATTCTTTCATTACAACGATTATGTGTATGACAAGCTAATTAGTGTTTCGTCTGAGGGAATGATTTCTTCTGACTGGCTTCTATGCAAATCGCGAATTCATTCAGATTATTATCTAAGTAATTTACTTTCACTCTGCACAAAATGCAAGTTAGCGTAAATTGAATTTTTTTTCATTTCACTTTTAACATTTACTGATTCTGAATTGCTCTAAAGCCAAAGAATGACTGATCAATGTTGATTGAAGTAAGCGAAAGTCTGCTTGCAAAGAAAGAACTGTTTGTTAGAAGTGAATTTAAATTAGAAGCGAAAAAAGTGAATGCAGTCACACAATAATATTAGTTCAAATATTATTCATAAGAAAGTATAATTTGATGGTGATTGACATAAATGGCATAATTTTCTGAAAAATCAGTAAATTTTGTGTAAAGTTAGATTGTGAGTATTTTGCAGTGTTATCGTGATAAAGAAATCTGCACAATACTTCAAATAAATATGACGTGTGCTTGTCTAGAATTTGAGCTAGTGCTCGACTTTATTAATTACTATATTATCCTCGTTGTCATTTAGAATTCACGTCATTTTTTTACTATTATTATATGTTTTTTAGATATCTTTGAGCTTTGGCAAAAATTTTTATGAATGTAGAGAATCCATAAAAATTTTAAAAAAGTCATAAATGTATAATGACTTTGTTACCATTGTATCTTTATGTTTGAAGGTAGAAAATTTTGTCTTGTTTTGAACTGAATATTTTTTTGATTCTGAATTTTCACGTGATGTCAGATAAAGGCTGAAACTGAACGCTAAGGAAATTATTATTTTGTTTTATGCATTTTTTCCTAAAAGCTGCATTATTGCTCCTTTCATTACTTGCACACCTGAATGTGCAGTCTTTGGCAAACACGCATGCATATATGTTAGGACTGCTCAATTTGATTCTTGGAAATAAATAAAAGGATATTATATGAATGAATGAACGATTGACTGAATGAATGTATTCCACCTGGCACAGCTTTTCAACTCAGAATTTAAACTAAGTATGAGTTACATCTGGATACTTTTCAGCTCAAAATATATAATGTATGAATGAGTCAGTAATACTTCAATAAACTTTAATATAAAAATTAAATATTTCGACAAAAAGTCGGAAAGTAATTCAACTTTAGTCTGTCCCAAATCATTTAAATTTTTTAACCTCCTGAAATGAATGATTTCAAATATGAATTTTCTTTTGAATTTTAAAATT